GCGAGACCGACCGAGGCGCACCCGCAGGCTGAAACTTTGTGCGAGCGCGCCCCCTCGGCCTCGCTCGCGCGCGCGCACTCGCCGGCGCCCGCCACCTGACAGACGCTGATGTTATCTGCTGGAGGAAACGTGCGGCGCTCCCCGGCTCTTCTCCGAAACCGGCCCCAGGACTCGGCCGCGCCCCGAGGCCTGCGCCTCTGCAGTTCTCCTTTCACCCCCGCCTGCCGCCGACCTCTCCCAGCCCAAGGGTTAAATCCGGGGGAGCTGGAGGGCAGGCTCGCAGCTACCCTGAATCCGTCCAAGCCCGCACCTCGCAGAGTAGCCGTGAGCCCGGCTGCCGCCCCCTGAGCCCGAGGAAACGGGCTGCATCTAGAGGCTCTCCCGGGACCCCCTGCCCCGCGGCCTGGGACCGCTGCTCGGGGCATTTCAGTCTCGAGGACTCCTTGTCCCCTCGCAGGCCTCTCTTGCATTCGTATATATCAGAGCGCAGAGTGGGGGTCTGGGTAAGGAACTAATGCACGGCTCTGTTGTTGACTTAACCCGCACATTGGATCTCTTGGTAGCAGTCTGCAAGACTGGGCTATAGATGTGCGCCCTGCGCCCTGGAAGAGGGCGGCGGGTGTGGAGGTGCGCTCGAGAGAGGTGACCCCTGTCGGGCCCAGAGACAGCTTGCTTACCGTGTCAGTGCAGGCAGCAGACCTGGCCAGGAGTGGCGGCCTACCCCCTGCCTGTCTAAGTGATGGTGAGGATAACAACAGCTAATATTGATTGAGTGCCTTGTGCTAGTGCTTTCTATACGTTACCTCAATCACTGACCTCCCTACCTAAGAATAAGTTCCTTGCCACTTCCTCCTCAAATACTTAAATATATTTCTTACACTTTATATTGCCATATAATTTTTCATGTCCTTATCTTCACAACCAAACTGTAAATTATTTGGGGTCAGGAATCAGGGCTTATGCTTCTTTAGCTTCCAAAGAACAGCCAGCTTTGGGTAACACGTGGGCCATTACCAGTAAATTGCTGTTGATTTTGAAATATAGAATATGATCACCTCAAAGAAG